AAAATGATGTAACTTAAGCAATTTTCTTTATGTTTCTTTGTTATCATCAAATATGGGAAGGTTGTTGATCCTCTCTCTCAATGATTTGATGACGATCATTTTACCTATCGAAGTGTATTATCTATGTATTCAGTTTCAACGATCTTCACTAAGTCTGTTCAGTGATCGCTGAACATGTATTGTAATTTGTTTAGAGACCGGTATACTTCAAGAAGACAAAACTCACACCAAAGATCCTTCAGTGATGTCGAAGACATAACCAGAAGAATAGAGACTAGCAAGTTCGTGATCTGAAGCGGTTTTCAGTGATAACAAGGTCTTCTACACAAGTGTGAAGTCTTAAAATGATTCAGCAAACAATGATAAGACTTTCAGCGTCATTCTAATATTCAGCGATCAAATGAATCTTGTCGAGCAAGGTTTTCTTTGTCTTATCCTTCTGCACACAAAGAACAAAGTCATACCTTTCTAAGTATAGTACGGAGCCACTCCTTTGACTTTAAATGTGCTTACTTACTTTATGAAAGAAGACTGTTCATATACAACCAAAAGGACTATATACTGTAACAAAGGACAAGCTTTCCTCTAAAAGCTTGCCATGTGCTTTGTACCTTCTGAATTGCATTTAATGCAATGGGTATAAATAGCTGAGTGGTTCTCCTCTCATTATCATCTTCCTAACTCTAAACTTACCCAAGAAGTTACTTCTCTCTTTACTATCTATCTAAGAGAAAGATCCACTTTAGCAAGTGAAGAGCACATTTCTTCTTACCTTATTTCTTGTAGCAATTCTTTTCTTATTGCTATCTTAGTTTCTGTGTATCTTAGATTGTTTAGATAGGTTTTATATCATATCTCTTCTGCAAATAATTTGTAAAATTTGTATTGATATTCTTTATCAATATATAATCTTTAAAAGTTAAAGTTACTATGTTTGTATTCATCTCCCCCTTCTATAAACTGTTACTTATAAACTCTTGGAAATCTGGCTGGGACCAATGATTTTTGTATTGAAATTTTGGAGGCATTATTTGTTAGGAACCAAATGTCAGATTTTCATTGACCATAAAAACCTTCAATATTTGTTTAATCAAAAGGAACTAAATATGTAGCAAAGACAGTATATTGAATTGGTAAATTATGATTGTGGAATCCTTTATCACCATGGGAAGGCAAACATGGTGGCTAACGCACTTAGTCAGAAGGAAAAGAGTGGAATAATTAAAGCTATTGCATTGAGAACAAATCTAACCCCCGACCTTCATAATGAAATTCTCAAATGTCAAGGTGAAGCTATCAAAGAAGAAAAATCTTAAGGATGAAAGAGTTGGTGTAATAATTTCAACCCTGACAAAGAATGATAAGGGGATTCTATGTTTCAAAGACATAATTTGGATACCATGTTTTGGGAACAACCATGAGCTGATTTTAGACAAGAGTCACAGATTGTGATACTCGATTCATCTAGGTACTAATAAAATGTATAAAGCTTTAAAATCATTTTATTGGTGGCCAGGATCGAAGAGGGATATTACAAAATATGTAGAACGGTGTTTGACATGTCTACAAGTGAAGATTGAGCATCAAAGACCATATGGGAATTTGGAGTCTCTAGAAATTCTTGTGTGGAAGTAGGATCATATCACAATTAATTTCGTTATGAAGTTACCGCGAACTCCAAAAGGGTATGATGCCATATGGGTTATTGTGGATCGTTTAACTAAATTTGTGCACTTTCTACCAATTAAGGAGGGTTATCCTTTAGAACGGTTGGCGATGATTTACATTGAATAGGTTATGACTCGTCATGGTGTTCCATTATCAATCATCTCAGATAGGGACGACATATTTACCTCTAAGTTTTGGTAGAGCTTCCAAAGAGCTATGGGGTCTCAGATCAGATTAAGTACGACGTATCACCCTCAAATAAATGGGCAAAGTGAAAGTACGATTCAGACCCTTGAAGACATGTTGAGAGCTTTTATTATTGACTTCGAGGGATCTTGGGAAAATCATCTGCCTCTGATCAAATTTGCTTACTACAATAGTTACCATTCCAGCATACAAGCGGCATCATTTGAGGTTTTGTATGGACAAAAGTGAAGAACGCCATTGTGTTGGAATGAAGTAGGGGAGAAGCAATTGGCCGGTTCATAAATTGTTCAAATAAATTCTAAAATGATAGATCATATACGAGAACAAATTAAAATAGCTCAGGACCGGCTATAAAGTTACGCCGATAAACGCCGCAAACTGATTGAATTTATGGTAGAAGATTACGTAATGTTAAAGGTTTCTCCATGGAAGGGTGTTGTATGATTCGATAAAAGAGGTAAGCTTAGTCCAAGGTACGTTGGGCCATTCAGAATTTGTAAACGGGTGGGTTCAGTAGTATATCAGTTGGAATTTTCGGAGGAACTCATTGCCATTCACAACACTTTCCATGTCTCTAACCTACAAAAGTGTTTAGTCGATCTGAATTTGGCAGTACCGTTACCTGGTGCAGCTTGATAGTAAGTTGAATTTTGTGGAAACCCCTGAGGCCGTCACTAACCGAAGGACAAGAGTTCTAAGAAATAAAGAAATCATTCTAGTGAAAGTACAATGTGGTTTTCATAAGGGTCCTGAAGTTACTTGGGAACTGGAATCAGAAATGAGATCAAAATATCCTTAGTTGACTGATTGAATAAATTCCGGGATGGAAGTTATTTTGAGGGAATGATAATGTGTTAACTAGGTTTTTCGGTTATAAAGCTCGGGGTTGTTTTTGAAGGTGGTGGTAAGTTGAGGGGTTAATTGGGTATATGTGCTTAAACTGTTTGAAAACACCCACCACCTTACTTGTTTAATATTGGTATATTATGATATATTTTAAATCATCTCATAAGGGTTTTGATCAAGTTGATAAGAAATTTGGGGTGTGTGTGTATGTTTTGTTTTGGCGCTCGAGCAAACAGAAACATAAGGAGGAAACAACCAAATTGACTCTGTGATGTCTACGTGGAAATTGTTGTTATTTCATCTTTATCTACGTGAATTACATATGGTGAGTTTAATTTTACCAACTTAGGTTATTTGGAAACTATAGGTGGAACCGTATGGTTCTGTATGTGAACTCTTGATATAAACTATTTTGAATGCTATAATTAGCATAAATATGCATTTTTGGTTATGTTATATCATGTGTTAAAATAAGGGTGGAATATCAAGGAGAGGTGTATTTTGGTTATAAGGGTGGCATATCAAGGAGACGTGTATACTTGGATAATGGTGGCATATCAAGGAGAGGTGTATACCAGGATAAGGGTGACATAATTAATGAGTTATAAAATCTGGATTTTTGATCAAAGTATTCAATGTTATCGCATCATAACTCAGAGTTGTCGCATGTGTGTGATACGATAACTTAGAGTTACTGCATCCTATTGATGCAATAAAAAGTAGTTATCACACCTATATGATGCGAGGAATGAGTTTATCGCACCCTGTAATGCAAGGAATGAATTTATCGCACCTTGTGATGCGACAAGATTGAGTTTATCGCATCAATATGATGCGATGAGTTGTGGTCCTTGAACCAGTGTATTGCGAGCAAATGAGATTATCTCATCATGTCATAGGAGGAGTTATATGATGCAACAAGTTTACTCAAGACGAGTTTATTAAGTGATTTGATTATTTTGATGTGATAAATGAGATTCATTATAGCAAACTAACGTATATCTGTTAATTTGCAAATATGACTTCATAAACGTGATTTGGTGATTATTCACTCTATAATAGCATCAAAGGGATTTATCACTAGACCTCAAGGTCTAACCCTCATTTTGTGTTTTAAAAATGTGCATTACAAGTCGGACACAACCAGAAGACAGGAGGAAGGGGAAATTGTGAAGTAATATATTATGCTTGCATGGGTTAATGGGCTAGCATATTCTTCTTTTGTATCTGAATACTTGTTATGTATTCATGTGTTGTATAGTGTTGTTTTAAAAAAAGTTGTTAGCTTTTTTGTAATATAGCGATATGTAAGATATTGGGACTGAATTTGTAAATTATATTTCTTGATATATGGAAATATATGTTTATATGCAAATGTGATCTTGGGATGTTATACTTATAGCAAGTGTGTGATCGTAAGGAATGAAAGGGAGAGGAGAAAAAGCCAATTGAAGGTTTGCAGCAGATAAGGAGATTTGGGGCTCAATCTCAGGTAAAGATATCTTTTCTTAATGTTTCTTTTTCCTTTGGTGAAATGTGATTTGGAGATTCGGGTTCTATGATTTGGTCATATACTTAAAAATAATGGGAGAAATCGGCTTCATGGTGTTAAATGTGATGTGAGAGTTGATTTTGAGTGTGTATTTCACTCTATAATCAGTTTCTATGACATTGGTGTTATAACCATGTTTCAGGCAACACCGTTTGAGGTAACCTTACGTAGAAGTTATGTGAATTATGTGAAATATGGGTGATTAATTTAGAAATGCATGAATCATATATGCATGTGAATATAATGCTATGCATGCATATGAGAAGATGATACGTATGTGTATATGACAATGTGCATACATGGAAAATGTGAAGGTGCATCTGAGGTAACATGGTGAAAGACCCAGATTACATAAATGATAAAATGTTTGTAATACCTCATTTCTATAAATGATAAACAAACCACCAAAAGTTACATTTTTAAACCTTTAGAAAACAAACGGGATATAATATTTATGAGTTTCTAATTCGAAATGTCCGCTTGGTTTACAGGACGTTTCCGTAAGCACCTGTTTTCCAAAATATCCTAAAATGGACAAAATAAACTTAATAGATTTGCATAAAGCTTAAACTATATAAAAGACGGAGGATATTACCTACCCGTTATCTAGATACTTTAATTACAACCAAAAGACAACTAATAATTTACAATCCATAGTTGTATTCGACTAACTATATAATACCAAAAGAGTCGTGCTACAAGAAGCACCAAAAGCAAAGATCTCAATCTACTCGAGCTTGTTCTTTGCCTTATCTACACGACCTGTAAAAATGTGAACAACTAAAAGAGTAAGCACATAATGCTTAGTGAGTAAACGGGAACTACTAACTACTAAAGCTTCACAAATGTAATACATGGAAGTCAATGACCACGAAGGATGTAAATCATGTAATAAGTAATCATCATTCGAGAATCATACATCTGAATATCAAAGTATGCAACAAATAGATTGTGTGAAAGTCAATAATTGATATGTACTGCCACCGAGCTATCCCGGTCGTGGCAAGCACAACAATATATATCATAGATATCATACCATCCGAGCTATCCCGGCCAGTGGAATGATCTTCCCACCCGAGCTATCCCGGACAGCAGGGAAAATGACCGGACTCTAACACCGTCAAATACGCACCATACTCAAGTAATCTCAGCTGATATGGGCTTAAGCATGCCTCCCCGGGTGAAACACAAAGTAACCACCGAGTAGCATGTTTGGAAGGACGGAGTGCAATAGCCAATAATCTCTTGAATTGATAAGGAGACATAACATGGATGAGTGTGGAAGCAAGTAGCAAATAGATAACACATGTCTAGCAAATAGCAAGTTAAGTAGCCCCATAAACTCACAGTGCTTTTCGATACTCAAAAATCGAGCCAACTTAGGCTCTCTATGTCCATATACGTCTAAACATCGTCCAATGGTCACTCTGGAAGGACCAAGTGAGCTTATTTAACACCTGTAATATGTACCCAAAGTTTCATAAAGATCCGACAACAAAAACTTAACCAAACTTAATTTAAACTCATTTTAGGCATTATAATTCACAGCTCTAAATCAACTTTTTATCAGTTTTTAGACGCAATTATAACCAACCTAGAAGCCTTATTTCTAAAAGGTGTCTAAAGGACAGGTTTAGATCTACATATAAGCTTTCTAAAATGTCCAGAATCGTAGAAATCTGAGCTACGGTTAAGAAGTTATCGTACATTCAAAACAGCATCTCGGATAGATTTGGTGCTGTCAAATTCACCAACTAAATAG